CAAACCCCCTGGAAGGCGCAGGACAATGAACTCTTTATGTGACTGACTCTTCGCCCATCTCTCTATTTCAGCCCTAATAAGATCTGAATAATTCCTTCAACTATTGATCCGTCGATCACCTACTATGTGCCAGGCATAACAGCGAACAGAGGGTGCCATAAAGCAGCTATGAAGCCCTGGCTGAGGATCTAGGTTCGTTAGAGCCTCGTCCTGATCCGCCCAGGTTGTGAGTTCCATCCCTGGTCGGGGCACATACGAGAGTCAACTGCTGAATGCGTGAAACAACAAACCGATGTCTCTCTCTCTCTAAAAATCATTAATAATAATAGTAAGAAAGAGCAACAACAAAAAGAATAACTATTAATTACTGAATGCCTAATAGGGACCAGGAGACAGTATGCTAGATGCTGAGTATATTTTTAAAAAATTTTTTTAAATATAATTTTATTGATTTTTTACAGAGAGGAAGGGAGAGAGAGAGTTAGAAACATCGATCAGCTGCCTCCTGCACATCTCCTACTGGGGATCGTGGCCGCAACCCAGGTACATGCCCTTGACCAGAATCGACCCTGGGACCTTTCAGTCCGCAGGCCGACGCTCTATCCACTGAGCAAAACCAGCTAGGGCTATTTTAAAAATCTTAAGGTAATGATTTTGAGAAAGAAAGAGAAACATCTACTTGTTGCTCCACCCATCCAATGGCTGATTCTTGTATGTGCCCTGTCTGGGGAGCAAACCCTCAACCTTGGGGTACGCTGGCCCCGACCAGGTAGCTCAGTGGGTGAGAGCATCATCCCCATATGCCCAGGCTGAGGGTTCGCTCCCCAGTCAGGGCACATCCAAGAACCAACCAGTGAATGCATGAATAAGTGGAACAACAAGTTAGTGTTTCTCTCTCGCTTTCTCTCTCAGTGTAAAGTCAAACAACAAACATAATCGGGCTGCCCGCTGTGTGCCAGGACTAGCTGTGTGCTAGTTGCGTGGTATAACAAAATGAAACGATCGTTTATTGATGAGCTGCTGCTTCCTAGAATTTGGCCAACGGCTTTGCACCCAATACCTCATTTGATGGTCAGATCAGCACAGCAGGCAAGAAAGAGGGGCTCAGCAACATTTGTTCAAGATCCCCCTGCAAGAAGTCCAAAGCACTGGGTTTCACACCTGGATCGACCTCGTTATTTTGGGTCCCAGAGGGCAGGGACCACTCAGCTTCATCTCCTCAGAGTCCCCACCCAGAGGAGACCTAGCTCACAGGGACCCGGTGTCAACAGGAAGACCAGGGACGTGGCTGGGGGAGGGGTGGCGGTGGCTGGGCTGCTGTGGTCATTAGCCCAGTGGATGGGAGCCAGGCCGCCAGGAACCGGTCAGGCCAGCACTATCTCCATCCCACAGCAGCCGCCACGCCCACCAGCTCTGCCACTTCCTCCGGCTTCACCAACAGCTTAGCTCGGCGTGGGCAGCAGGCGGGCTGGGGCATGCTAGCCCGGCCTCCGTCTGACAAGCCTCGGGACAGAACCTGCTGGAGTTGGTGGCTCGTCTGGGTGTGCTGGGAGTCTATAACCTTGGGCAACGAGTCCCCTCCGCTCTTTGGGCCTCAGTTTCCCCAATAATGAATGTGCTGAGGGGCCTCTTGGTCTCTCAGAGGCTTAGATTCTGAAACTGGAGGGACCTTGAGATTGTCCCACGGAGCCCCAAACCCGCAGCTTGAGCGTCTATTGTTCCAAAGGTTTAAATCCAAGATGCTATCTTTGGAACATTCTAGAACTCTCCAATTTGGCTATCCCAGGACCTCACCGGCCTAAACGCCTACGTGACTGTATGTTCTAGTGCAGCGGGTAAGAGCACAAGGGAGGGGCCAGACTTCCAGGGTCCTCATCTGGTGGCTCCACTGTCCCACCCTGACCAGAGGGCGTCAGTTTCCTGATCTGGAAGATGAGGAGAAACAGCAGTCTGCCTCAGCAGGGGTATTTATTTTAAATATTATTTTCCATATTATTGATGTGGAAACATCAACAGTGGTGATGATCCAACTGGCCAGAAGGCGTAAGAGGAATTAAGGCTCTGAGAATTGAGGCCGCGGGCAGTAGAGACTACAGGAGTCAAAATTAGTCTGTTAGACTCTTAGATACACAGGAAACACTCTGTGTCTGTTAAAATATAAAAACTGAACAATTCCATGCAGCCTCCTGTGCCAGCATTTTGGCAGCGGGCGGTTGTTGTGGGGATATTTCATGATTTCCAAATTTCTAAGACGCTCAGATCCCACGCTGACATCCTCTGAGCCAGAGGAAATGCCGACGCTGGGCGTGGGGGGCCGGCCCGGG